CGTCCAATTTCTGCATCTCACCACACGCGGCCGTTTATATTTATTTTCAAGAATTTCGCATCGGCTACTCACGTTTTCCTTTGTAATGATACAGTAAGTAGTCTTTGGACACAGAGCATTATGTCTATGGCTACCCACGCTAAAAACGCAGTTTTGTAAATTTTTAGAATCCTACTTAATTTTAACTTTCTAAGCAGTTCTGTTATTGCGCACTATCTTTTATACTTATTACTTTGATGGTAGCAAATCAATATAAAGTTCATCACTGTTAATGGCGTTTTAATTAATACTCCAGAACTCAACACGATACCAGCATAATATTATAATATTACTGCATTGTCACTGAAGTTACGGTGTACAAATTCAACTCAATCAGACATCGAGAAGTGGTTCAAATCTTACTTGTAATATGTGAACTTAACACACATACCTACTACATGCCAACCCACTCACATACCTACAAATGTTTAGTAAAAGCTTGTAATAACAATAAAAAGGACGCGAAGAATGAAGTAACTGAATATGAAAAACTGTTCCCAACTTCTCGTAGTAATAACTTCGGTATTACTGCTTGTATTGACGTGAAACAAACTAGTGTAATGTACGTAGAATAAGCTTTTATTATATATTTATCTTAGATTATTGATAGGTTATCGCACGTTTAGACTAGATACCGCCGGCGTTCTTGTAAAATGCGGCAACCACTGAGTTATATGTACTACCTACTACGTACTAGAAAAGCTATTCCAAACAAAAATTGTGCGCTACTGAAGACATAGCGCATGCGCGGGAGATTGTAGATTCGCGCGCGAAGACTTTAATTTAATATAAAATAAGATATTAATATAAAATAAATATAAGAATTTAATATAAAATACTGTTATTTTAATCTAAACAAACATATTTCTAACTAAAATGTAATAATAATTATCTTATGGAATTCACAAATCTTCAGAAACAGAAACAGAAACTTTTTTATTCGACATAGATTATAAATAATACTTTTTGACAGTCACTCTTTTGTATAATTACCACTGGTTCGAAAAAAAAACCTCTGTCCTGGGAAGAACCAGCAAGAAATCCAGCGGGACTTTTTTTTTAAAATAACAGTTTACAATCATGTATGTTACACTTCTTCTTCTCATCTCTTCGAATCTTTTGTACAGCATATGCTGCACAACTAAGTATGCTTGCTAGTTTTGATATATGGGGGCTCCATTGAAGCTTCGCGTCTAGTGTGAATCCAAGGAAAATGGTGGTATCTACAAGACTCAGAATCTCCCCATTTAAAATAACATTAGTATTTAATTGTTTGACATTTGGAGTCATGAATTTCATACATTTCGTTTTAGTGCCATTTAAATGCAAATTATTACCATTGAACCAATTTACTAATTCAGATATAGCATTATTTAATTCATATTTTTATAATTGTTGACTTAATTTGAAAATTAAAGAAGTGTCATCTGCAAATAATATTATATCATGGTTATCCCCTACTATGTAAGGTAAGACATTAATGTATACAGGAAACAGAAAGGGGCCGAGAATTGAGCCTTGAGGCACGCCCATTTGTACCATCAACCCGGAAGAGCTCATACTGTTAATAACAACTTTTGCGTTCTCTTACTTAAATATGAAATAATTAATTTAAGAGCATAACTTCTTACACCGTAGTGTTGAAGTTTCCTGATTAATGTTTCATGGTAAACACAATCGAAGGCCTTGGATAGGTCACTAAAATATACCCAAAGCATCCTGTGAATTCTCGCATGCATTAAAGATATATTTAATCAGCTCAACACCGGCATCAGTTGTCGAGCGACCCCTTGTGAAACCAAATTGATTTTTATGAAGTAAATTATTTATATTAAAGAAATTTAACATTTGATCAAGAATAATTTTTCCAAAAATCTTACTAAGTGTTGGTAGTACAGAAATAGGTCTAAAGTTGGCGGGGTCTAATGTACTACCAGATTTAAATAAAGGTATTACTTTCCTATGCTTCATTAAATTAGAAAACACCAGATTCGACACTAGTATTAAAAATAATAGCTAAATGAGGCGCAATTGTATATATTATAGACGCAATAACTTTAACGGAAATCCCCTACAGATCCGCAGTTTTCTTAACATCAATAGTTTTAAAATATTTTACAATATCATTTGATGATACTTTATGAAGTGTAAAATTCTTTGTACACGCATTTATGTTTAAGTAATGATTCGGCGACGGCAGGAGACGAATTCAGTGACTTGGTGGTTAATATCGGAATATCCGTAAAATATTTCTCAAAAACCATTGCAACGCCCTGATCTGATTCAGTTAATTTGTTGTTAACACTTAACTGGTAGTTTGAATTGCGCGAGTTAATCTCACCAGTTTCGCTATTAATTATACTCCATGTCATTTTAATTTTATTAGAAACCGTCTTAATTTTGTTGCTCAAATACAAAGACTTGGCTGTGGAGCAATTTACACAATATTTAGTTTAGTGTACGGATTGCAGTACAGTTCAGTTGAACATAATCAATGTTCGAAATGCGAAATCTAGTGCGTAGTACATATATATCGATGGCGGCAACAAATACTACGCCCACAGAATACATGTACCCTGACGGGACTACGCCGAAGTCAACCCCCCCCCCCTTCACCCTATACGCCTATGAATTTGGGGGTATATATATAAAAAAAATACTGGCAGACGTATTTTAAATAGCATATCTCAAAAATAGTAATTATTTAAACTGCACCCATGTAGCTTAGAAATAAAAAACAGTTAAATTCGTTCACCTTATAACGTCGATATTACTTCAAATAATTAGAATTGGGTATTTTTTCAGTATAAAAAAACTGCACCTTACTTGAGTATAACTGCACCATCGTTAAAAATGCATTAAATGCAATGAGGGTGCCGAAGTCGACGTATCAGAGCTAGGGATGATCGAAGTTGCAGAAATATAGTCCATGACATCGATGTTGGCATCGATAGCTCAACGTCGATGTTCGATGTTTATCCTACTCAAAACATCGATGTTGGCCAGTATCGATATTTTTGCACATGTATTTAATAGGTTAGAATTAGATGAATAAAAAATAGTCATGTTGTTTATGGTTTATAATTAATGAAATAAAAGAAAAATGTAGTGTAAAACAGTAATTAAAAAAAAATTTGAAGAAGTTTACAAATACCTAGTTAAGTTGACTAAAGAAATAGTAATTTTAACAAAGAAGTACCTTTCAATCTGTTTCTCTGTTGATAAAAAATTGAACCAGCTTTTGAAAATAATTAAAAATTTTGTACAACTGACTTCAATATAAATTATTAAGGATAACTCAAAAACTATTGATCAGACTGATCAAATTTATATGGGACCACATGAGAAGCACCAGCTTTGAAATAAAATAAGAATCATCGATATCGGTTCACCCAGAAATAAGTTATGAGGTCACACACATTAAAAAAAGAACATACAGTCGAATTGAGTACCTCCACCTTTTTGAAGTCGGTAGATAACCGCTCAGATGGCGTTAATATCTCACCACAAGTTTATTTTTTAAATTTTAGATAGGAAGAACCAATATTGTTCTAAATGTGTGATAATGACAGTCAAAACCAATGGATATTTGGTTTTATTCAACATAAAAGATTACATACATTATAATGACAAAATACATTGACAAGTAATAATATATTAGGATGACAGGTATCTTCGTTTATAGCAATTATGAATAAGGTTGTATATTATAACAAAGAGGTAAGTATACTACAATCACCCGTCCTTGAAGTTCCAACATAATCGCGCAGATATGAGGGAGGCCGTCTGGCACGAGTGGAACGTCGAAGTCCGCTAGTTTCTGTATCATGCTCTGTACTGTTATTTTGAACATTTTCGGTTTGTTCAGATTGTACAGGTTCTACTGGCTCATTGTTTGTATTCATATCAGGGCGAATATTATATCCATTATCTTGGCCATTTTCATTTTCCTCTTCACTAATCCGAACCATAGGTAGAGGCGCCAATTGTCTATTGGATACAGTGCATTCTTGGACGGTTGAGAGCGACAGAGCGGTTGCGTCATCGGTCTGTATAAAAGGCAGTTGTTTTGGCTCGCCGCTCACTTAGCGGTTAGCCACCGTAGAGTCTATATCACCTGAGGATGCCTCGTGTAGAGGCGAAACACGTGTCGTATTGTCGTCGGTGGTGTGTCTTGCCTAGTGTAGTGGTGTTGGGAGTAGTGGTGCTGGGATTAGTGGTGACGGGGATAGTGCACACAATTGAGGGAGGGCGGGAGGTGCTCTTCATACTAGGTAAGACACATCATTTTATTTTATAACGCGGATATTAGCGAAGTAAATTTTTCTAAAAGCTTTTAAATTTTATACTTGTCGCCCCGGAACCTTCTTCCTCCCGTGCCTTCTGTCGATTACTCTTTAACTTGATGTTTTGTTTCGTATTTGACAAATGGCATGTAGTGCGTTCGCACTTCATTTATACCTATCCGAGTTTTTGATTAGTTTTAGTAGTGTTTTATTTGACGTGTAACAAATTTATTTGAATTGGACAATGAAGCAAAAATCAAGTGCCATTTGGAATTATTTCAATGAAATTTCTGAGAATACGACAAAGTGTAAACTATGTGAGAAGATATATTCACGAAAGGGAGGTATACTACTTCGTTAAAAAGTCATTAAAAGTATGTGCATGCCACTGAATTCGAAGAATTCAAAAAAGTTGAAACTGAAAAGAAAAATACTGTGCAATAGACCTGTCCTTAACACATCTCTTCTGCCTCCACCTCTGATTCCACTTCCGAATTCGGTTCCGATATAACCACTTCCGTAACATCCCTAGTATTTTGAAACGTTGGAAACCATAGATTCAATGTTAGGTAGTGGATACGCATCGAGTTCAGTGAATCTATTAATTGTTAAGGAATAATCAATGACAAGACGTTTTCGATGTGTAGTGCCTCCTGTTACTAGTACTTGCGCTCGTCAAGGAGAGTTACTTGGTTCAATCACTCCATCCTTCAACAATTTAGAAACTTCTCCTCTAATAAATTCTTCATCAATTTTTGTATAACGCCTTGACTTTATTGCAATTGGCTTTATGTTTGGAGAAAGGTTCGTAAACAACGATACAGGAGATACTGACGCTTCCATAACACATATTTTTAAGGAATCCCTTGAACCCCCAAAGTTAAATTCTAATGTCTTGTGGCTTTTCAATAAATCATGTCCTAAGATAACATCTGCACATAGGTTATTGACAAATAGTAAAGGTTGATTTGAATATCTATGCTTGTCTAAATTTATCGTTGCATATGTAATGCCTTCTACAAAAGAAATATGACTAAGGGAAGCCAAAGATATAGCCTGCTTATGAGGTCTCATCTTTAAGTTCATATTTTGGCCTAATGTCTTATTTATAAAACTGACAGAACTTCCGGTGTCAATCACAGCTTCAGCGTGGAGTTCATTAATCATAATAGGAACTGTCGCTTTGCTTAAGCTAGATGGAGATGCAGCAGATATACATTTGGTTTTAATAACATCCGCAACTTCACTGTCTACAGCATTTACAGTTGGTCTACCACTTTTGCAAACAGTAGCGAAGTGCCCTTTCTTTGAACATAATTGACATGAGCGTTGAAAGCAGGGCATTTTATGCGTTGATGTAGATTTTTATTACCACAAAAAAAAACATAGCTTACGTTGACTTGCTGCAATGGCTATGCTGTAATTCTCCGTGGTACTTTCTGGTTTTTCATGGTAAGTATCAGTTACAGCATGTAATTTCATTTGATGATTATTGCAGTTTGTATAAGATAAAGAATTTTTTTCAGCAGTTTCTAAAGATGTAGCTTGATTTTGGGCTTCTTCCAATGTCAAAGTTATGTTTTCTAAAAACCTTTGTCGTATCTTTTGACTTGCGATACCCGATATAAAGGCATCACGAATATAGTCATTCTTATTTCGCTCCGAAGTTACGTTTTTGAAATTACAGTCGTATGCTAATTGCCTGAGAGCTCGAATATATGCAGTAATAGACTCCTCGGGCTTTTGTTTTCTGGTTGCTAGTGTATATCGTGCATGTATTTAATTTTTAGCCTTTATATAAATGCTATCAAGCAATTGAATGGCAGTCACATAAGAGGAACAGTCACGTATTAGTGAATAGACTGTCGGCGACAAATGGTTGATGAGCAATTTTAACTTAGTTGAATCAGAAATCTGATTTGATTGTTCGTGGCATAAAAAATTTGAAAATGTATACGGCCAGTGGCTCCATATTGGATCTTGTTTAAGATGAACCATCCGATTTTTTTTAAAACAACCGACAAAGAAATAGACGACCAACAACGACATCAATAACAAAGCGAAATCAGTGACAACTGCGACATTACAATCGACACTTGACAGTTAAATTTGATACACCATAATGATATATTTTTAGGTTATCGATGTGTTTATGAATTCGGAATTATTCAAAATTTTAAATATTTTATAGGAGATGCAAGATTAAGTTGATATTGATTTCGCGGGTTCGCAAGTTCCTAATAATCGATTATGGGTTTATTGACATCGATGTTTCGATGTTTGCAATGTGGCAACATTTTTGACATCGATGATCATTGACATCCCTAACCCGAGCTCGAGTCAGGTTATACAGTTATTTATGGCCTGTGGTTGTATAATTCGGTTAGAATTAGACTTGGGCCGTAACGTCTTTTGGACATCGACAATCGGTTGTACGTAGTTTCGTGGATATGAGTAACTAGTTTCAAAACTGCTTATTTTTGTAACTAGTTACTTCTGTATACAGCATATCGTTGTACGTGTTTATTATGTTACGTTTGTATTATGTTACGATTACGAAATTATTAACAGGTTATAGGTATTATAATATTAGTTTTACTTTTATGTTATGTTATGATTACGAATATATAACAGTTTATAGGTATTATAATATGTATGCTATGCGTACTATTTGACTATAAAGGTAATTTTGTCAATTGAACTTACCTTCATACTTTTCTAGGCTTAGGACTGGCTGCAAAATTTCATTTTTAAAGTTATTTTTGTGAATTTTTCTAAGACAGAATGCAGGCGTATTTAGAAGTTCATTTGATTTTATGTACAGTGTTTTTTTTTTTATTTACAGTTTACGCATATTTTGCAGTTTGATTAAAATATTTAAATTTTGAATCGGTTTGGATCCAAATTTACATTTATATAAGTTAGTTGGGCCACTTTATTTGTTTCCAGACGGGTGCGACGTTCATTGATTGTAAGTCCGGTTTTACTAAATATTCACTCATAAGGAACGGAGGTAGCGACTATGTTCCCGTATCTTCGTAGCAAAGCGGCTAGGTTGGGTTGGGATAAAGCAAAAAGTTTTTAAAAACACATTTCACAGACTCGAGACAATAACATTCGTCAATCATCCCTTGCATTTGTTAACTACCTGAAATTCTAATAGAAACACGGTCAACTGGTCAAGGTCGCAATTTCTTTAAAAAAGCATTATCATAATGAACCTTAACTCTTTCCAATTGCATATGAATTCGCATGGGCCTTTGCATTTTAAAAAAGGCGCACCAATTACAATATTGCCGTCTCTTTTTATCTTCTGTGTAAGCCATACCTATCCCGAAGGGACCCTTTACTCTCGCTGTGCGAGTCGTATATCGTATTACGTACCCATAATCATTTCTTAATAATAAATAATATGTTTAAAACGAAACACTTACGCGTGCGCCGGTCGTTATGTGAGTGTCAACTGCGTACGTAAAATAATCGTTACATTTTTGTCCACGAAACTGGGTATACGATTATCAGCCTCGTAAGCAGTTTCTGAAACCGATTACGTTAAATAACGCTCACCTCTAGTTAGAATCTACTAGTTAGTCTGTGGTTGTATGTAGAGGCAAAGTGTCAGGTGGATGTACCGAGTGTTTAATTAATTTTGATCACAATCGGAAGTAAAATGCCAGTTTGCGTAGTGACACTGTGTAAAAATAATACTACACGAAATAAGAAAGACACTGGGACCACATACCATCAGTAAGTATCACATAGGTAATTTCAACATAAAATAACACAAACCATAAATAAGTCACAAAAAATATAAATGACACCATTCAGTGTTGCTGCGTGTACAAAAATAATGTTCCCCGTGGTTGAGAATTTTATATGTGAATTTATTGTTACTATATTTTATAATATAATATATTTAAGTTATTATATAACCTAGTTCTACATTATTTAAGGCTTATTTTTGTAATATTGTTCAAATGACCTAATATTTATGGGTGGTTTTTATTAATTTATTTATTATTATTAAAACTAACCAAATTTAGTTCAGTGGTTAAAATGTAAAAACGGTACAGACAGAGTTACTTTTACAATGAATAGGTATAATATGTGTAATACAGTCATCATTATTATCGTATTATGTTTGCTTGGTACAGATTTCCTGCTGATCCTGTTATTTTGGACCGTTGGACTGCTATAGTACGACTCAGTCGACAAGAAAGTTGGTGGAAACCTGGAAAACGCAGTGTTATATGTTCCGCTCATTTCAATGAGAGCGATTTGTACTTTACAAATGGTGGTTTGAAACGATTGTGTAAGGGAGCTGTACCACAGAATGCATTATTTTTGTCATCAACACCATCGGATATTTCTAACAATAGTACAGTAACTACAGAACCAAGCATACCAGTTCCAGTTGTCAGTTCTACCAACAGTGCTGTAACTGGAGAACAAAGCAGATCAGTTTTAGTTTTCAATGAAACTATTTTAGCTAATGGTAATGAAACTCCACCACTAGATGACTTCCCCGACATTGACTATATTTTTGACACACCGAGAGAGATAAAGCTTAAAAAGGAGCTTAATAAGAAAACTGTTCTACAATTAAAACACGCGAGAATAATTAAAACCTTGCGTGAAAAGACCCGTAGGTTAAGAAAATCCAATTGTAATTTAAAAAATATTATCAAATCTTTAAAGCAAGAGCTTAATAAGAAAACTGTTCTACAATTAAAACATGCGAGAATAATTAAAACCTTGTGTGAAAAGACTCTTAGATTAAGAAAAGCTAATTGTAATTTAAACAATATTATCAAATCTTTAAAGCAAGAACGGTTGTAACAAGCCTTCATCTAAAAGATTAGTTATGTGTTTAAGACTTTCAATACACACTACATTACTAAAAAATCCAGTATTTGCATGAGTATTTAAAACTGGTTTAAAACTTTTAATAATTATCCTCTTTTGTTGCTTGTGTTGTCTATGAGAACGCTTTCAAGTTTTTAATACATAGATCTATAATATATTGTGTCGCATATTTTAAATAATTAAGAATATTATCTTTATTTCCAATATAAATGAATGACTAAATCCATATTGCTTCAAATCTCTGGTATTGAATATATCAAATAAAGTTTACTTGTCGCATTTTTTTGATAAAACCGCAAGATTTCTACAGCAACGGGATTACGTCACTACCTACAAGATAGCTACAAATTATCGAACTAAAGGGCAAATAATATATAGTTAAATATAATTAAACTATGAAACAAAAATGTCCTGAATTTGTATATAAAGTAAGAAGGAACTCTTCCCCGCCCTTATATACTAAGTATATATAAAATAGTGCTCATTAACTTAGAGAATGATTCTACCCGTTATCATGAATAATTTTTACTATGGGATCAACTTCGAAATCTCAAAGGAAAAGTCCGCTATTATACAAAATTTCGTATATACTCGTTCAAAATGTATGAAAGACCTAATTCCTTTTTTGCGATTTTGAAGATAGATTCATAGTAAAAGTTGTCCATATTGACGGGTAAAATAGAAATCACTATTTTTGTTACACAAACTATATTATTTTTATTTTTTGCAAATATTAGTTAGACATGTAAATAAAAATATACTTTTAAAAATTAGCTTTTATTATTTATATGCCATTTATTATTATAGATTTTTTATAGAGGAATGAACAATACATCATATACACAAATGTATTGATACTTTCGCTGTTAATAAATTTTTAATTTTAAGTATTTTCTCGGCTACATTCATAACTACGAACTACTAAACCATAGCATAAAATAAATTTCCCCGTTAATCGGGTAAATGTTAAGCTGCTGGCACATACAATTTTTCACGCAAACTTGCATCCTTGCAAATTGTCTAATACACACTACAATATTGTGATGCCGCATTCACGGAGCTGTTTTTCTAGTCTGACCGCGCGATGACCTATCAATAATCTAAGAGATATATTTAAATGCAACATGTTTACCTAGTTGTCAGGCTGATTAACCGGTTCAGTGCGGATGACATGCCAGGCGTGCCGTCGATTACTTATGTGTGGGGTATGACACGCGAGTCGTGTCTTTTTAAAAATCGTTATAACTCGCTCAAATTGCGTTTTTGGAAAATTTATCCAGAACAAAAGATTCATTATTTTGCAAGTAGTTCATACCTGCTTCGTTACTGGATATTTTGAAAATTTGAAATTTTTAGGGGTTGACAACATTTTTCTAACTTGTACATGGTACTCTTTACTTTGTTGGTTTTCAATCATGTTGTGGAAAAATAGTCTAATAAGTAACAAATAATAGCACTCATTGCGATCTCTCACAAACTCAAGTTGTAAATAAATTTCTGAAAAACAAGTCTCCTGTTAAAAAAAAACAATGCGTTTGTCTTATTGCTTAAAATGGTTGAACTGCCGTCTTATTACTATCATATGACCGAATAGACCTACGAAGTACCATGTGCTCTTATGATATGGTATAAGGTTTATTTTTGCTTGAAACCGTTCATGCATAAAAAAGTTCGCTAATAAATAGTCTCGTAAATCCACCGCCATATTCAAAAGGAAACAAACGCCGGCGCTTGTTTCCTTTTGAAAACACTTGTTTTGCTATTCTTACTAATTAGACGTTTTCAAATCGACTTTACTTTTACATTTGTATAACATTAAATAATATTTAACATTTGTAAATATTAATGAATCAAAGCTTTTTTTTTCCAAATTAAGGTTCTAGATTGTTTGATATTTACAAATATTATTATAAGGTGAAAATTTAATTTAATAAAAACCAAGGTTATCCAGGGTGATTTAGCTGTATCTACTTATAAATGATTTTTTTATAAAACAAAAAACAGTACAAATTGTTTGTAATCTCTGCATAAAAAAGTCACTTACTCTCGATTTCAAAGAAAACACGTAGAAAAACACGTAGTTACCCACTAAAAACAAGTATCCTTCCGTTTGTAACTGATGTTTGATGTCAACTAAACTTAATTAGGTCTAAACAAGTGAAAAAAGATAATTAAAAAAATAATTAGGCCAGGCGTGTCATGAAATATTTGTTCGCCGCCACAGCTAAAAGTTGTCGAAAATTGGTGCCGCAACAACAAATCGGTTAAGTAATTTTAAGTCCTATTTGGCCCATGTACTCACATAGATGTTACGCACGTGCCCCTTAGCGATTTCTGCAACCCCATGGGGGGCGCGTTGTTCACCTTGAAAACCCAATGGCCTAGGGATAATTTATGGACCATAGAATATAACATACATAAGGCTATTATTTATCGCGAAATAATGTACAGTTGCAAGTTCGACATGCGAACCAAGTCACGGTTCTCAAATAAATCAAACTACAAAATGACGCAAAAAGATGTTATAATTGCATTTTATTAACAAAAAATAAATCTAAGAGTTAGAGTTGGGTCCACGACGGCGGCCGAATGTCTGCACAACATTGACAAATCTGAAACAATTAACTTTAGTTAAAGTTACATCAATGAAAAAACACATATAAGTAACACATTCAAATCTTAAATGTTGCTTTTTATTATTGATTGAATGAAATAAAAATGAATACATTAGTTATTTTGAGCATTCAACACAATAATCCTTAACAATCTGTCCACATGATTTTTTACACAGAGCACAAGACTCCATCGTTTATCTGCCTGGTTATCCTGTCTGCTATCAAGTGAGATGATTAAGGCCAATCCCTCTGACAATGGGAGAGGTCTATGTCCAACAGTGGACTTTTAAATTCTGATTAATACAGAATGGTAAATTAATCTGTTTACAAAAACAAGACAACTAATTTAGTAACTGCATCTGTCGTACTGTCTGCAAGGGATAATGCTTGGCTAATATGTGACTGCAACAAATAATCGGGCATATGATTGTTAACCAAAATAAAAATTACCGTCTGTTGTATTGGATCCTACGCTTGGCACGACCAGTCTTCTTCTTTTTCTTTTGCTGTTTCTCAACCTTGGGTGTCTGACCTTTCACCTTACCTGAAAATAAATAACATAGACACTAAATTAAAAACTGAAGTATCATATGCCGCTACTCCTCACGAAACAGTGCCAAAAATGCTGGCAGTTTTCTAATGCATTGGCCTAATACCTTGAGGTAAGAAAATATAGGAATATTTGAACTAGTGTCAGACTAAAACAGGATTTTCAACCGAAACCGAAAACGAACCTTCGGTCTGGGTGTCAGTTTCGGCCAAAACCGAAACTTATTTAAACATGTTAAATTTTTATATTGTATAATGAAATCTGGTATATTTTTTATACATATGAGTATAAAAAATATACCTATATATTGTAATGTATGTTAATGAAAACGGTAATTGTAATAATCATGTAGCAATTTATTTATTTATATTAAAGTAAAAATGGCAGCGATGGAGCGAATTTTATAGAGAAATGTATGCGTGTGATGATCTTAGTGAGGGATCCGGGGATGATGCCGTGACTGGCACGCCAGACCCGGACCTCGATGACACCGAGGTCATCAGTATGAAAGAGATTGAACGTGCGATTCGAAGTTTGAAATGTGGTAAGGCTGCGGGACTAGACAGAGTTACTGCTGAAATGGTCAAGTATGGTGGGCCTCGCGTCTGGGACAGCTTTCATCTGCTGTGCAATTTGTGCTGGCGGACGGGGGATGTCCCGGATGATTGGCGATCCGCAGTCATTGTGCCTTTATATAAAGGTAAAGGTTCACATTTTGACTGCGGGTGCTATCGGGCGATCAGCTTGACCAGTTTAGCAAGTAAAGTTTACTCGAAGGTTTTGACACGTAGAATGCAAGAGAAATCGGAAAGATTTCTATGGGAGGCACAATGCGGATTTAGACCTGGAAGAGGATGCACGGATCAAATGTTTTCTCTCCGTATGATCACGGAAAAGCTTCTGGCTGTTAACCAGAAGATTTTCTGTGCTTTTGTGGATCTTGAGAAAGCATTTGATAAGGTTGTAAGGAAGAAAATGTGGGAACTGTTGCCGGGGTATGGTGTGGATGGCCGATTGCTAAGGGCTGTGCAGTCTCTTTACTGTGACTGTAAAGCCTGTGTGCGGGTAGGGCATGACCTGTCACCCATGTTTAGCGTCCAAACGGGCGTAAAACAGGGTTGTGTCATGTCTTCCTGGCTGTTCATACTGTATCTCGACAGCTGTTTACAAAAGCTGAAAGATAGCTGTTTGGGTGTGAAATTGGGTGACATAAAAGTAAACTGTCTGCTGTATGCTGATGATGCAGTGCTTATTGCACCATCAGAGGCAGAACTGCAGGCATTAGTCACGTGTATGAAAGAGGAATGTGAAATTAAAGGTCTCCGTTTGAATGCTAATAAAACTAAGGTTCTGGTATTTGAAAGGGACGAAGAGAGAACGAAGTGTGAAATATGGGTAAATCAGGAATGTCTAGAACAGGTAAATGAAATTGTATACTTGGGGAGTGCTTTTAGCCGGGATGGAAGATGTGATTTAGATGTGGACAGGCGTGTCGCTGCCGGGAACAAAGTCAATGGTGCCCTGACTGCGTTAGTCAAAAGGCAAGGCGTAGCGAAGAGTGCACGCCTTGCAATACATAACGCAGTGTTGGTACCGACTTTGTTATATGGCAGCGAAACCTGGGTATGCCAGAAGAAGCATAAAAGTAAGTTGAATGCAGTGGAGATGCGATCTCTTCGTAAAATGTGCGGCGTTACTATGGCCGACCGAAAGCGAAACGAAGAGATTCGCAATATGGCAGGTTTGAAAGATGACCTTATCACAAAAATTGATAAGGGCGTGCTTCGGTGGTTTGGGCACGTTGAGCG